TAAATAAAAAAGACTTGCTACCATTTTCTGTCAATGTTTTTCGAGGCTTTTCATTTTCCCTCTGGCAAAAACAAAAAATGTCTTGTCATCCACTACTGAATTCACCATCCAACACAAGCACCACCAAACAATGGAGTGTATTTGGTTTATGTTGAATCTGAGACCACATTCCCTTGTGGAAATCATGACCAGATTTGTGTGTTTGAAAGTAAACCAGAGATCTCTCCTCACTTGTGTTTGATTCGCTGCAGAACACCAACTCCCACATCAGTGAGAAAAGGTCAGAGAATTATTTTCATTGGAAACTAAGAACAGAAAGCAACATCCTATTAAAAATGCAAACTGAAATCCTCCATGTTTCTCTAAAAACACAAACTGCAGTGCATCTGACCCATTGTGACACACGCTGAATTATTTATCTTTCATGAATTAATAAACCAAACATCACAACAGCCCTGAACCCTCTGAGATATCAGATGAAGACAAATGTACAGTTTGGATAAGAAAATTCTTTCAAATTCAGTAATGATGCCGAAAGTGAAGACTTGAATGCTGTAAGTGAAAATTCAAAGTTGTAAGTCATTTAAATATTTATATCTCTCCAGCCTTTCTTGTTCAAGTTAAAATATTGAATACAACCTTTCTGAAAATGCAGCTGAATAATTATCCAGACATGCAGGCTGAGGAAATGTGTCCAATAATTACTTTTAAAGGGACCATTTACACCTCCTAAAAAAGACCAGTTTTCAACCAAGCAACATTAATATTATTGGCATGTTCTGGGAATCACCATACATTTTAGGCTGTGGACCGTTGAGTAGTTTTGCCATGATAATAAACCACTTCACTTCCCTTATTTTACTACTCTGTTCATTTAGCCAGGAGAGGAAACTGGAGAGTGAGAACCGACCAAAAATCCAAACGGCGCAGTTGGAAATGCTGTTTTACAAGTTCTGTTCCATTTTGTTCCGAACATGTGTCATAAAATACAAAGTGTAGTTTGGCATTCACTTTCTTGAGCGCTAGATGATAGCTTAGCTTTGAATTCTCTGTAAGACTGACACAAACAATGGTAAACAACTATCAAAAGTATATTAACCTTCCAGGATTCCTAAAGCTAAACAATTATGTGTAAAGTGTTTGGACTATTGTCATTTTCTGGGACCTCTTTTTCATCCTGAGATATTTCCCATATACTGCATTCTGCATAATTTAACACATTTTTTGGGACTTTATCGCATTTTGACAGTATATTTACAGACGTAAGACTGGCATTGTTCTTCTCAAAATTTAGTTTTTTAATCAGAACAGTTTCATGTTTCATGAGCTACAGTATGTTCTGCCCACTCAACAGGTTTCTCTCTGTGTGAGTGTAAAGTGCCGGCTTTCACACTTGTCATTCCTTCGCTAATTCAAGATGAGCCTTTCAACCCTAATTACTCACTCATTTATCCTCTTCACACAGTTCTTCTTCCATTCTGTTTCACAGCACCAGCAGCCAGGAATGCTGGGAGAGCGTCCTCATTATGGACGAGACAGCAGTTTGTGAATAGTTCTTCAAACACAAGTTTGGTGGCCGCTTTACTTGGAGAGATACAATCGACCTTGGAGTGTCCCTGTGGGAGAAACACTAAAGCTGTGTTATGCGACTGAGTGTGGGAAGAAAAGTGTAATAACTTTCACCTGAATGCTTCCACTCTACCAAACACCATGGGTTTGTCGTTCACAGGCGTCAGACCCCTCTGCATTCAAAGAAAGAGGCCTGCAGGGATCTCGCACTAATGAGGCAGCAGGCATTTCCCTGGCTTGTTAGGAACCGATGTGTGTGTAGAGCCTTTCTCTTGACTAGAAGCTGCACCCAGTACCAGCTACTATTTCTCAGAGTGAAAGGGATTCAAAATTAATGATGCAATTATGCTAATAGGGTTGCCAGACTGGTTCTTCTCCTCCCCTCCTACTAAGTATCAATCCTGTTGAAGAATGGCAAAGTGAAAGCGTCGCTGCTCAGACTCAGAGTGTATATTTAGCCATGAATCTGAGCTGTCCCGAGAGATGGCATGTGCTGTGCAATGTAGACAACAATTGGCTTAGAAATAGATAAATAAAAACCTCTTGTTTACTGTCACTTGGCTTTTCATGCTAATGTAGCCAGACTGGCTGAAAGCTGAGCGTATTTGCTTGACATCCAATGAGGTTTTTTATCATAGACTGCATCGGACGATGAAGGACACGTCTCCACTTCCTCCCGATGTACAAAAATTAACACATTTACATAATTTAGAGCCTGAGTTTGCACAGTAGTGATCGTGGAGAGGAGCTGTGGTATCAAGGTCGGGCCTGCACGCATCCTCAAACCATCGCAGATCAGTCTCAGCTGTCCATCATGACATGTCACCCTATTTTTATGGAATCAAATAACTGATTAAAACCAATCTTACTGGGAAAACGGGATAAAAACTACCTACATTTGTAAAATGACAGAAACAATCCTTGAGAAATTTTATGAATTCATGCCCTCTAGCCAACAGGTGGTCATGTCGCCCATCTTTACATACAGTCTATGGGTTTTATCCACAAAGTGAGTATATTGTCGATGGTATGATATCATTACGTGTCTGCAGCCGTAGACCATTCTATGAACTATCCTGGCATGAAGGTGCAAGTTTCCTCTGTCACGTCGAGTTTCAACTTTTTCCATCCACCTTTAAGTTGCATTCGTCTTGTCAGGATGGTCAGATTGAGTCAATTTTCTTGTCATTCACAGACACACTCAATTACAGGCCTGTGTGATACTCAGCAGAACATATGCACGTATACCTTGACATCTGCTGGTCATAAAGACCGTTCAAAACATCTTCAAGAAGACGTGGTACGGCATGAAGGATTTTTTTTTGGTCTAATAGTGACAAATGGCCATGTTCTAAGCAGAGGCCTGTAATCATGCTTGAAGTTTCTTGAACGGTGGCCACGTTGGAAAACCCGAGGAGTAACCCATATTTTCACTGGCACTTCTACTATCATGTAGCAGAGAGTGCTGCAGTTCGTTTCCACTCAGAACCGATGCTTAATTTCACTCAGTGTTTTGTTAGACTTCAAACCAGAACACGCAGTCGGCAGCAGCAGCAGATTACTCTAACTCGACATGTCAGCTCGAAGTCCTGTTTTTGCTTAAGATGTATTGAAGAGCGGCAAAAAAATAGGAAATTAAACCTCTTTTTTTGTATGTGGGCTGTCTGACGTTGGTAATATTTCAGCGGTCTACCAACCACCATTGTTAGACCAACCATTCTTAATGTTTCGCAGAAAGGAAAAACATCACCATGCTCATCATTTCGGAAAAGCCACATGTGCTGGAAATTGATTTTGTTGCTTGAACATATTCTTTTCTCCTCTTCTTTTTGTCCTCAGTACAATGTTTTTATGTGTTCAGCTTCATTACCACAAGCTGTAGTCATGTTTTACTTTCTATTGTTTGCTGTGTTGGCTTTGGAGTCATCTCATCTCTCTGATTGCCAAAACACTCCCAGCAAGGATACATATGCAAATAGTGCTAATCTCACCTTTTAATGAACACATTCATACACCACCCCCACTAAAATACTTGTTTTGTTATGTTTGAAGACGGACTGGGATCAGCTTCTTTTCACTGACAGAAAATGATTTAAGCATCGTTGGCAGTGCACCATCGGGAGTGACAGTCATTTGAATAATAACTCACACAAATGCACAGCAGACGCCGATGCTCTGGGGTGGTTGTATTTTTTTTTTTTTAAACGCAGCAGTAATTGGAAATGTTACACCTGCAAGTCTCTGCACAGTCACACGTTAAGATCTTTCTCCTCCTCCAGAGGCAAACCTGTATTTGTGGACATGAAGACATTTGTGTAATTGTTTTGTTCCACTGTCCTTTGGCCTACTGACAGTTAATCATATAAACAGAGTCCTGTGTGGCCGCTGTTAAATTAACTGAAGCTGTGTAATGCCTTGTTGCATTTTTACTTATGATGCCGTATCATTTTATTGAGGTTTGATATTAAATTAGATTTCATTCCCTCTGCTGCCTTCAACGAGCCTCTTGCAATTCTCCAGTCAGCTTTACTAAACAATAACTGTCACATTATACAACATCTAAAACCACACTACACAACCTGGATAATAGAACCCGCAGCCTGACAACCAGTCAGTGGAAGAAATGAATACTAACTAATAGGAAACAATCCTGTCTGTGTTTGTAAATGTGGAGGGGGGGGAGTCTGCTGAGGGTTCCCAGGAGATTTCCCTCCCACGAACAATACCGAGTGTTTGCTTTTGTCAGTCACCTGCCACATGATGACAGAGAGGAGGCAGCCAACAGCAGCTTGAGTCAACTCCAGACTGTGCCGAGTAACGTAGCATCTGAGCCGCAGAGACTGTATCGGAGGACGGATGGCGTCTCTCAACTTACTCCCACTATCCAGAAATTAAGCCAAAACGTCCTGGATGCCAACGCTGCCATCTTGCGCCGAGGACTTCATTGTTAGGGACCAAGCAAAAAGGAAGAGGACAAAGGTGTAGTTATTTTTCTTTTTTTTATAAAATTAAAAATCTTTTCCTTTTTTTATTCGAATCACAAATAACTAAATATCCATACGAAAGCAGAAAACAGTTACAAAATCAGGGCCAAAACTCAACTAAGCAATAAGACCACAACAAGCTCAACACAACTAACAGACCTCTCCTTACAAATGAGGGGGGGTACACAGGTGGACTAGTCCAGACACACACACACGTAATCAAACATTAACCACACAAATAAACTATCAACATACAAACATAAACAACCTATCACAATAAGTATATATACACCAACAATATGATTAACTTAACAATGACCAAATAATAACAAAGTCGTTTCAACCCATTCTAAATCTAACCCCCTCTTCAATCTGCCTTTGGTCTCCTCCACTTCCTGTGGGCTGGGCTTTAAAGACCACTTCCTGCAGGCTTCAGGCCTTTTGCCAGGGGAGCTGGGTACAAACAAATGGTAAGTGTTATTGCAAATTAAAGAGAAAGACAGTATAATTATAGAAAAAGGCACCAGGGGGCGACTGAGATGCTTTGGCTTCACTTTTGGGAAGCTGTCTATGGGAGACAGAGTAGTTTGCATGAAGGTGATAACAAAGAAAACAAGTCTTGTAACATTCATGCTGTTTTGGTTGAGATTATATTTTGCACACAGGTGCAGGAACAATTCTTAGAGTTTAATCATCATTAGATGTGTATTTCAAACATCCACATTTTTTCATTTTTTATGATTATTCACATTACACTTTGTTTTTTCACCTTGAAAGTGTAGTTAATGAAATGAAAACAACTGCGCTGGAGTCATCATAACCATAATATTGTGATAAGCCGAACAGAGCAGATTTCTGAAAGTGTTTCTGACGTACAGTCCTCACAGACTCTCCCCGTTTCCTCACAAAGTGACATTTCATGTGTGTGATGTATTGGAAATGGAAAACTTAACGCAGCACAGACAATTAAAGTTGCAAGTGAAATGTAGAATACGAGGGGAGGCCTCCACACATGGAAAAAGTTTAACAAAGTTTTACAATTATTCAGGGCTGGATGAGTATTCCTCTGTTAATGATGATGCAGCGTTTTTGTACTCAGGCGAGTGGCAAACAAATGTTATTAAAAACTTTGTAGTAAAATCCAAAACAAATCACATCCCAATGTCCCATATAATACAGATGCATTTCATTATATTAATACCCATCCATTCATTCATCAGCTACACAGTTTATCCTTTGAGGGTCGTGGAGGGCTGGAGCCAATCCCAGCTCACAGGGCCGACACAAACAACCATTCACACCCACGCTGACACTTATTTAGAGTCGCCCCTTAACTTAAGCATCTCTCTGGACTGTGGGAGGAAGTGCATGTATAGGAAAGGTACATGAAAACTCAACACACAGAGGCCCATGACAAGAAAGTTCATCACCAGAATCCAGGTTGTGTAACAACCCTGCAACATAAGAAATATACTGTATTTATTTATTATCATTTTTCTATGTTTACATGAAACATGAAGAGTTTGGAGTTATATCAAAATTGGTGTCCTTGACCTCAGTCCATGTATTTTATGGGGGGCAGATGGTAAATGATGGCCTCTGTGTTTCAGTTGTACTCCCCTTTGCTTTCTTGTATGTCTTCCAGATTCTTTTCTCCACAAATGTCATGTGAGAATTATTACAATTTATGACAATTCATCCTGAGGGGGATATGGATGTTGGTAACAAACACTGTGGCTCTACATACAACAGTTGTTCAAGCATCTTCCCAGAATCAGGAGACAACCTCATGATGTCACACGAGGATTTCCAAAATCAAATGGCCTTATCCTCTGGGGACCATGAATATCTGAACAAACTTCAATCCACCAAACAGCTGTTTAGAAATAGAGGTCTGGTTCAAAGTATTGCACCGACCAGTCAAGGGACAATACCATTCCCATTTGCATGACTGGAAAACAAAGTAAACAGCAGCTGCTTTCATGCCTCAGAGACTTTATTCATTCACCCGCTAAAAACTCCTCATAATGTGCCCTTCACTGTATCGAGTACATAACAGACTCTGCACAATAACATGGCTGGATAAAAGTTTCAGGAAAGGCTTTATATTCTACCATATTAACTATTCAACCCAGGAGTGAGTCATCCAAAACCCAGCATCACTGCAAATCCTGCCAATGTTTAAAACATGGTTTTTAAATCTATATTTAGATAGTGTCATGATGAAATATCCCACGGGAGCTAAGCTCTCGTTAGCAGCAGAACAATACGTTCAGAAATAAAAGCCCTTTTTACTTATTGTCTTTCCTTTTCATATTTCCATATTTCTACACACACACTTTTCTTTGACCACCTCATTTACATCTCAGTGGCAGTTTCCAGTGGAAACGCTAACAAGGAGCCGTTGAAGCCTTCGCCTGGGGGCTTCTATTCAGATGTGGTCCACGCTTCGACAGATGAAACACTGGTCAATCTGCAGTTCATTTCCTTTCTGTTGTGGGGAGGAAGTGTGAGTTCTGGCAGTTGTTTAGCTGCTGAACAAGCTCCATGTTAGCACGGCGGTATTTTCACTGCTCATATTTATATAAAAAAAAAAAGGAGGATTTATGTCTTTGATGCTGTGATGACAAGGTTTCATTTATGGTGTTGGTGAGGACAGAGCTTTTAATCTGCCTGTCATCAAGTTTAAAGAACTGCATCCACCACAACGTTTGGATGCATAAAAGTTTTCTTTTGATTGAAGTTGCATCAAACCAGCAGCAGCAACAACAGGTGGACCTATAAACGGGGATAAAGAGCTCCCCCAGTGGGGCTTATCGCCATGTCTCCAGAGTAAATGAACGTCGCCTGCCCATTCTCTCACATCCTGTCCCCCTCACGCTTTGACATTTCAGACATGTCCCCCTTACAGAATGTCAACCTGGGCCCTGTATCCCGGGCCATTAATCTCCCTAATTGAATAAAGATGAAGAGAAACCACTGTGATGAGAAAGGGCAGAAGAGTGTCTGGGGTGTGATTTAATGACCCAAGTGATTTATGGCAGAGGATAACACCCTGTTTAAGACTGTGTGGGTGGCATGTCAGAGGACAGCTCGCAAAAATGCCCTTTCCACCGTTCTCCTTTTAGTACTCAGGGTAAATACCCCTGCTGCACCTCAGCATCGTAAATTTCAGACTGACACAGAAGCCAGGGCCAGTGAGAGAGAGAGAAAAAAGTTTGTCTCGTCTATGGAATACGTAAGTGGTCAAACTTGAGAGGGGAGGATATCGAAGGGAAAGGACAGGACAGGAAAAGGAAAGGAGAAGGCCATAACAAGAAAAGAAAGGAATAGAAAAGGGACGGGATGGGAAAGAATACCAAGAGAGGACCATGAAGGAAAGGATAGGAGGAAATGGGGACTGGAAAGGAAAGGAAGGAGAGTGGTTGCCAGGTTAGTCATTGTGGGCTCAGTTCTGCTGAATGCAGCATTAACTTGAAAAATTAAAGTCAAACCTTTGTGGCATGCGGTCTCTTCCAAAGCTCATTAGTGCACAATCACAGTTAGCTCCATACAGTAAAGTATGCAGCTGCTGGAGTGGCTACTGTAAATATTCAGCACATGCATCAGCGTCCATGAATGACATGAGAGCACCACTCCTGCACACTGGATTATTATTTTGATGAATGTTACTTGGACTAAATGAAGCTCTGACGTACTGCAGTTTGGACGAGGACTTTTCTTTCTTTTTTTTTTACAGGAGGAATGAAACGGGCACACACCTGTTTTTTTAAAAAAGCCTCTTTCCTCCTATTTCCTTCCATCTTTCAAAGGGGGTCTAATGACATTCACAGACACAGTGTGATTACATGGCATGTTAACACTGCTGAAGGCAAAGTCCTGTCTCAGGCCGAGGAGGGAAATCTATTTTACAGCAGGGGCAACGCTGACGCAGATGTTAACGGAATCACGGCCATCTGCCTGAAGGTGACCACCACTGTGGGCCCCTGCTGGTGAGTCATGCCATGTTTGTGCACAGTCACATCAGCTGTCAGGTCGTAATGAAGCGGCTATGTCCGAACATGGACCCTCTCACGCGGGTGGACCAATGAATCTATTTAAAGATGAATGATGCATCTCTGCCTCCTCTTGTTGTACAGAAAGGAAGCTGCCATCTTACTCTAATGACGTCAGAGTCTGAGCAGGAGTGATGACACTGTGGAGCCGCAGCATCGAGGTCACGCCAATACACATGCTCTGCTAAATGTGAGTCTGTCTCGGCTGTCATGTTTCAACATGTCTTAATAGGATCAAATAACCAACTAGATAAGAATCAAGCTGCACAAAATTGTACACATATCAGTCCCCGAAATGGGCCTGATTTCCAGACACAAGTTATTCTTGGGAAAATTTATAAAAATGATTAAAAATTGTGGAGATCTTGTTTTGAAGGTGTTTTATGTGTAATCTTGCTTAAAAACCAACAAACAAAGCAACAAACAAAAAAGCTGACTGGGGTGAAAATGTAACCTCCTTGGTGGAGGCAAGCAAAACTGAAAGAATGTCAGAATCCATCTTCATTTACTTTTAAGTTTGTTCCATCCACTAACATGGAGTAGGTAGAGGTTTATGACCTATTCTGCAATCAGGGAGCAATCAGGATGATTTGGCTTCACTTAAGAGGAGCTGTCATATTATAGACAGTCTCTATGAGGTAGACTGACACATACTAGTGTCATAGCAAACAGGGACTGAGGCTCCTGTTTGTCATTTGCACGCTGTCTCCACGCAGGAAATGCAATGACTGCAGCTTGGTGATTAATGAGCTCCTTAACATGTCTGAGCCTCCGAGTGCTTTCACAAAACGTGCAAGTGTAATATTAGATTTTCAAATATGGCAGAAATGCTGCTGTGAGTGTGTTGCTGGAGTATTTGTACACCAGCCCCTGGCTGAGCGTGCAGGCTTGTTTCAATATCTGTAAATTAATTAAGTTATTGCTTCTGTTCCAACCTCAAGACATCTGGGCTCAGCAAGGGAAGCTGAACACACAAGAATATGTCAGAGTGGATTTGTGTCCTTCAACCTTAACCTTCTCCAATGTGCACAAGACTTTTTTTAGTAAATCCAGGCAGCTTCCCCACAGTGACTCCATACACCCAGAGGATCAGGCACAGAACAGGGCGGTATTCTTGGATGACCGGCACCAAAAGCAGAGTCAGCTCAGGATAAAAGTTAGAAAGTCGGGAAGAGATTTCTTTGAGCGCGGAACAAGATGGCTGGATGTCTCCCTCATTATGGCCCTCATCTGTTTCACGAGGAAAGAGGAGACGAGAGAAGACAGAGAATCTTCACATTCGCAAAAGTTTTTACTGGCACTCGTTTGATGTCTCATCGAGCATCTCAAGGCCCGACTGAAGTCAAGGCTGTGAATCTTTCCAGCAGAGTAATTGCACCTCAGTTGTAGCTCGTCTCTGCAGCTGGAGCTTCCCGCTCAGCGAGTTCCCATGCGTTTGGGCTCCGAACACATTTACTTTAAATGAACAGACCCGTGGGCGAGAAGACAGGGAGAAAAAGACGGGGACACCCACAGGGATTTATTGACTTTTATGAAGTGTGTTATTGCAGATAGCACAAATAGCTTGAATTATCTTTACATAATGTCTTAAAAGTTCATTCATGCCTTCACGTACTTCATAAATATTGAATTATACTCTCTGAGAGGCATGTTCATGCTAGTGACAGGAACAGGCTGTGTGCTGTACATTTCAAGTCTGTGAGTTTTCTTATCTTATCTGAGGTTTGGATTTTAAATAAAGCAAAGTCAAAGCGTGTGTGGGAGCGTGTCCTACTGATTGATGTTGCACATTCTTTGTTAGCAGTGTAGCCATTAATTAACAATTTAGTGACAAATTGAATTAACTAAATAGACTGAAACCTCCTTCTTCCTGAGAAGTATGAATTACTTTCATGGTCAAAACATTGCTATGGATAAATAGTAAAAAAGAAAATATTAACTTGAATTAGCAGTTCTGAGCAATAGGTGCCTGCCTTTGTAATAAATGATTTAAACCGACCATATCCATTTAGAGAAGAAAGCAAATGGCCCACAGGAAGTACTTTTTACTTTTATTGCCCCTGGGAAACCCAACGACACAGCCATCACCACAGCCTTCATCTTATCCGGTTGTGCGGATCATAAATTGTTCAAAGCCGAACCTTCCAGGCTCTTTTTAAGTCGACCACATTTATGGCTGATGTTGTGCATGTAAAGCTGAAACCAAACATAAAAACTTTACCCATATTACTCAAATCCTCCAATATCAGCATGAAACTTTTAGCCTCTTTTGCTTTAAGTTGTAGTTTTTTAAGTTAATAGGCAGAGTGTGTCCCTCTGTAGAAATGTAGAAATGCATCATTAATTCAGCGGTGAAATTGTATTTATTAGTGAGACAAATGAGGGATTTATCGGAGTTGTTTTTACAGAATTAATTATAGATCTGACTTAATAACATGCCCATAAGGTTTCCTCTTACCAGAGGCGAACGGAAAAGCCACTGGGTCTATGAGGCATTAAATCAATTAACTACCTGTCTTCACCAGTAATGGTCTCCAGGAATATTGGATTTTTATATCTTTCATCAAATCCTAATTTTCTCTGGGTACTGCTCTATTTCACAGATATGGAAAAAGGTGAAGCTGCAGTCCTACGAATACGTAAGATGAATTTGGAGGTAAAACACCAATCTTCTTAATAATAAAGAAAAATATATGTATTTAAAAAAAAAAAAAGAAAATTACTTAAGAGAAATGTTTTACTGCACCACAGAGCCTCACATAAATGACTTTTCTCGCCCCACGATCCATAATTATGAATTCTGTCCTACTTTCATGAGCATGAGCAAAACTCAAATAAACGCAAGAAGCTCCCTATTTCATCCTGAAGGTTAGTGTGGGGGCTCCCTGCCTGACAACAGCAGCACTCAAACATAACTTTATGGCTCGTTGCTCAAACTGGGCTCTGAGTCTCTTAGTGTGGAGCCCTGTCAGCGGATATTTACACACATGCAGGTTATGAGGCTGAAAAGATAGAGAGCAAACAAACCATCTGTCTGCTCGCAAAAGTGGCGGACAGTGATAATGTTCAAGGCAATGACGTACATCCTGCTGCTTCTCCCAGACCTCGACTCCTGCTCTCAATGATTAAAAGTATGGACTTAAGTTTTGAGGATTTATAATCAAACTAATCGCTGACTCTTGCATGTGCTGAAGCCGCAATCTAGGTTTTGGTTTTAGCTCCACCACAGATCAAGCAAAATCCCTGAAGCTGGATGTCTAATGTGGTGAGCTCGTCTGAAGTCTTCATGACGCCCGCGCTTGTCCCTGGACGTCATGCTCGTTGAGTAATAGGCTTTGAAATATTAAGAACAGGCAGATAGTCCCAAAGTCGCAGTAGCTGAAGGCTCCAGTGTGACAGGATGCTTCGAAAGGCATAATCCTACTTTCAGCTCGCACCAATCCATCAATCTGTGCAGATTCATAATGTTAGAATTTGGTTTTCTTTACATTTCCTTCCCTGACCCCTTTAGCACCTCGTGTACAAAGGTTGCTTACAAGTCCACATATTTCTCTTTCCCTGCTGTTCTAAAAATACACAAGTCATTTACTGCTGAATTATCTATTATAGATTTGTTGTGTTGCTGCCGTCTCTGGCAGACTGATGCAGCGCGCTCTAAATTATGGATCTAGTCATCCTCTCTTGAATTATGCCATTGATCTGTGTCGAGTCAAACTGCAGAAGTTTGAGCAAAGTTTACTTTGTGGTTGTTAATGAATTCCAAGAAGGAAGAGGGATCAGCCTCAGTGTTAATTCCAGATGCAGTGTTGGTTTATTTCAAACTAATGGAGTTACTTATTCATTTTTAAACTTTCAGACTCTTTAAGAATGGCACTCAGTGGAACACAAACCAAGGTCTGACAGTTCTACATTTCTTTGCGGCTGTTATAAAAGAAAAATGAGAATGGCACTTGGTAGAGCGTATAAATCTCCACCAAGGCTGAACAGTCCAATAAATGATTGTCTAGTAAATACTGAAAAAGGACTGAATTGATATAGTTATTTTCCAGTCTGAACGACCAGCTCAGCCATCAGGTTTAATTTTGTGGTTCAGTGTCTTGCCTTAGGACACTTTGGCATGCTGGGAATCAAACCATCCAACCCACCTGAGCCACAGTCACAAAGGAAAAAGACTGAGGCAGGGGGATATGGTCTGATAAACTAGATTATTTATTACCTCTGCCAAGGACATACATTATTTCCTAAATGTTAAAAAGTGCTCTGTGTTGCAGTGTTAAGAAAAGCAATTTGAATGATTTTTTTTCACCTCGTTTGGAAATGTTCAAACAAAGGAACACACAGGACCTCCCTGGTGGAGGTATCACAGCTTATCTTGCTTGATCGCTAAGATATCCTCAAGCACTGAGAAGGAAAAGTTTCAACCTTTGTCAGCACATGTGCCATGACCCCAGAATCCACTCTAGAAACTGTTATATTCGAAACAAATAACCAGATTTTCTCCTCCCTCAGCTTTATGAGTGTGTCAATGTGTGTCATCCTTCAATATCCTATAAGAGGAAGAGCACACAGGGGTAGCAATCCTTCTACGGGTGGATTAAAAAGAAAGCTCCCTAAAGATAGAGATGAAGACAGATTCCTTTAATATCTTTGTCATAACACAACCAGGGACACATAGATGTGTGACACATAGATACGGTCTAGTCAAAAATGATTACAGCTCCGTGGTTAAGGCTTCTGCAGGGATGAGGGACCTGCTGTCTGTTCTCAACGGGCATTTGGAAAATCAATCATTTGTTGTGAGGAAGTGTCGAGCAGCTGGAGGAACAGAATAAGGCCAATAAACACGCTTCCTCAGCATTCAACCACAAACCTGCAGTTTCGTTTGCTTTCTGTGTGAAAGAGCATTGTTCAATCTCACAGAGCGTTTTTTAATCCTAGACAGGTTTTCCAAAGATGCCAAGAAGTCAGGCTGAATTACAGAGAAGAAGAAATTATATAAACCATATCTATAACTTCCATTTCATGTGATGTCAGAGTTGCATAAAAAACGGCAGAATAGAGTCTTTGACTTAAAGCATGAGGGGATGCTGAATATAAATGTGATATTTTAAATAATATCTGCTTATAATTTTACAGTCATTACAGTTATTCACCCAGATTTGATAAGTCAATATAAACTGAGGTGCCACACAATGTTTACCATGTTCGCCATCTTAGTTTAGTATATGAGCGTGCAAACATTGCTGATGAGCACAAAGCATAGTTTGGGGTAAAGGATTAATTCATGTGTTTGGTCTGGGCAGCATGGTGGTGCAGTGGTTGGCTCTGTTGTCTCATAACAAGAAGGTTCTGGGTTTTAATGTGTTCTCCCTGTTTCTTAGTGGGTTTTTCAGCTAAACCTCACTCATTTACAGGAGAGAGGTTATTTAGAGACTCAAAAGTGAATGTGTGTGAATGGTTGTTTGTCTCTTAATGTCGATTGGTTGGTTGGTCGGTAGGTTAATTGATTGACGAGTTGGTTCGTTGATTCATTCAAATTTTCCAATCTAGTTATTGTCTATTCTCTTTTCTTCTTTTAATGTTTTTTTACAACCCTTATAGTGTCGTAAATAAGCATCTGAGGACTATTTTGACCCAACAGTCCCACAGGCTTACATTTTCAGTTAAAATCTAAAACCAGAAAATGTTTTATGGAAACCCATTAGACCAAAAACAACAACCAGCTCTCCAGAGCATTTAAAAAGCCAATTTCTCTAATGTTGGATAAATTCCACAATGATGCTGTGGTTGAAAATATCCTGAAGTCACTGTCAGGGTGAGAGGAGAGAGGAGGATGTTAAATCTGACTCCTCCACCATAATTCATGTATATGACATACATAAGACAAAAAGACAGAGGTTAACCTCTGGAAAACAAGTCTCCTCTGAGCCACAAGAATGCAAATGAACAGTGTGTTTTCAATTACATGAAACCAGCTCAACCGTGGGTTGCTTCATTTTGCTGCCTCAGCGTCAACATAATGCTGCTTTCCAACAAAGTCTTGAAAATCAAACATGTCTTTGTTCGACCACTGCTAATCTCACAGACAGAGAGACTTGTCACAAGTTTCTAATTTTCAGATCAAACTAGATGGATTGCTGAATATTCATCCAAAAAATAGGCTCCCTCCCTCGAGGAAGATTTTTGTGGGATTTGACAAAGGAAAATGCCACAGTAGCAATTATGATCTCTTCACTCCAAAATTATTGCATATGTGGTGGCAGAGCATGTGAATAATGACATTTTGCTGTGTAAAAAAAGGATGTTTATGAAGCATTCATTTTACAACATCTTGTATGACACAAATTAAATCCAACTTTTTCTGAACAGCATATTTCATCATCATCCATAAAACATGCTGGAGGCAACATTCAATGATCGTGTACATCTGTAATCATGGGGATGAAGCTCGGCGATTTTTCCTGGTTGCAAAACTTTCTTCTTAAAGTTCTTCTCTGGATTGTGGTTCACCAAACTTCCCAAAAGACGCTTAAGCCAACAAATCTTTCCCAGGCGCTCTGTGTGCCACATAGAGCTCTGTTTTGCTTAATTGTTTCCCGTACGAAGGGGCCAGTGAGCACAGTGTGTTATTATGCTCGTCCACTGGGTGCTGGTTTTCACGCTGTGCCCCATGGACTCAGGTTTTTCAGACTCTGTGAGGTCCCTCTGGGTCTCTTGAACATGGCTGTCAGTTTGACTCTGGCTCA